GAATCAAATACAGGACTAAAACAAATCATTCCAAATCTAACTTACAATTTAGCTAAACAAATATAATACTAACAGTATATACCTACTTTAACTCAGTGGCTGTGGATTGTTGATGCTAGTAATTTTTTAAAAGGCCAGCAAACAGGAGGGCCGACCGGCACCTCTGCCGCCACACAGCCGTGCCACTATTGTTCTGCCGAGTCAGCAGGTCTGGCAGGAGACCCTCCGGTGAAGATGCCACTCTCTCTGGGCATATCTCTTTACATTTCTGAAACTGGCAACTTTCAGATATGTGGATTTCAACTTCCAGGAGTGGAAGGCTCCCACCTTAAAGTGGCAAAGTTTGAGAAACACTGCTCTAGCCTATTTCTTTATTAGTCTTTACTGCCTTGGTCTTTTGCCATAGAAGGACTTTCTCCCTCCTGTTTGCCCACATTTTAATCCTTAATTAATTCCCGTGCCGCTTTCATTTTACGTCTTTTTAAAATTTCGGTTTGGGATTTGGTATTTTCGTTATCATTAAGTCCCTCGAGTCCTTGATTATACTGGGACTGAGTCAGCCTTGAAATGCTGCCAATCAATTTATTTATTCAATTTCTATTTAACAAATTTAAATTGGGAAAGTCAATTGGATTGGAGTTGCCACTTGCACGCAGAGTCCACAAGATGCATTTATTAGGAAATCTTCTTGGCACTGAAGCAGGCGTCTCCTTACGTGGCAAGTTTAAGACTTGTGGATTTCAACTCCCAGAATTCCGCAGTCACCATGATTAGCTGGGGAATTCTGGAAGTTGAAGTCCACAAGTCTTAAATTTTCCAAGCTTGGAGACCCCTGCACTAAAACCAGGGGAAAAGGGAAAAGGGAAGGAAGGAGATGAGAATGAGAAGCAGGGAAGGAAGGAGGGAGGGAGGGAGGGAGGAAGGAAGGAAGGAAGGAAGGAAGGAAGGAAGGAAGGAAGGAAAGAAAGAAGGAAGGAGATGAGAATGAGAAGCAGGGAGGGAGGGAGGGAGGGAGGAAGGAAGGAAGGAAGGAAGATGAGAATGAGAAGCTTGGTTAATAAAACCCTTTCCTTTCTCACTGCCTTTCCTCTGAGAGGGCAAGGAAGTGCACATTGGGGGTCAACGCCAAGGTTTCCTTCACAGCAGCCCAGCAAGGTGGGGCGCTGGTGACTGGCCTAAAGCCCCCAGGTGAGGGTCTTCCTAATCCCTGAGGTCTGCGAAGCTCACAAGCAGCACTTTCAAGCAAGGTAAAAAGATGAGATATAAAACTGAAATAACCATCATGATCATGATTGCCATCATCATCTCCCCTCCCCCATTTATCTTCTCTGCTGGACAGCTGGGAATTCTCGGATCCGCAACTTTCTGGACGCCGTGTGTGTGTGTGTGTGTGTGTGTGTGTGTGACGGCCCTCTTTCCCTGGGGGAGGCTTGCAGGTTTAGGATAAGTTTAGGATAACAGAGTTGGAAGGGACCTTGTAGGTCATCTAGTCCAGCCCATTGCCCAAGCAGGAGATTCACCCCCATCCCCTCCCCAATCTGGAGGATGTTCCCACGCTTACTGGTTTCGCAGTTGGCCCCAAAATAGCCGTGGCGACAGCGGCACTCGTTGGGTCTCACACACACCTCGTTGTCCGTGCAGGTGAAGTTGCCCTCGCAGACGGCTGCAAGGAGAGAGAAGGTGAGGGGGGCGCGAGAGGCGTCTGCCCCACTCCCCCCCCACATCTGGAGGTTTGACTGTGGGCCTTCTGCTTTGGAGAGAAATCAACCCGGAGGAGCCAGGATGCTGAGGAGATGTGCCAATCCCTCGGCCTGCCCAGTTCTCCGTCATTCACACCCGGAACTCGTCACTGCTGTTCCACTGGCTCCTGATGTGATTACAGGCAGTCCTCGGCTTACAACCACAAGGGAGCCCTTGCTAAGTGAGAAATTTGTTATAAGTGGGTTTTGCCCCATTTTACGACTCTCCTTGCCACGTTTGTTAAGTGAATCACTGTAGTGGTTAAATTAGTAACACGGTTGTTAAAGGGATCTGGCTTCCCCCCCATGGCCTTGGCTTGCAAAAAGGGATCCCAGGACGCCAGGACACTGCGACCGTCATAAATAGGAGTCAGTTGTCAAGCATCAAAATAAATGTAAATGTAAATATAAGTATAAGTATTACAAATATAAGTACAAATGTAAATATTCAGATTTCTTTTTCCTGACAAAGAGTTCAAGAATTAAGTGGGAGACTAGTATAGCTATTTCCGGCTCATTAGCCCTCATCAGCTAGCCACACCCTTTATGGGATTTGAACCTAGGCAGCCTACAAGCTAGGCAGTTGTATTAACCACCAGGCCACTGGCTCTCCTCCCCTCTTTGTCAGCCGAGTCAAGGGAGTATATACAGAAAGTAGAACTGCAGTATAGCAGTCAAAAAATGCCAAGGTGCAATCAATCAGACTGATCTGTCTGAAAAACTTTCTGTAAATGTACATATAAATATAAGTACAAATGTAAATGTAAATATAAATATAAGTATAAGTACAAATATAAGTACAAATGTAAATGTAAATATAAATATAAGAATAAGTACAAATATAAGTACAAATGTAAATATAAATATAAATATAAATCACGTGACCGTGGGGATGCGGCAATGGTCAAAAGTGTGAAAAATGATCATAAGTCACTTTTTTCAGTGCCGTTGTAAGTTCAATCGGTCACTAAGCGAACCGTTGTAAGTCAAGCACTACCTGTGCAGGTAGTCCTTGACCTAGAAGCGACCTGTTCAGAGTTACAAGGGCACTGAAAAAAGTGACTTATGACCGGGTCCTCCCATTCACAATCACTGCAGCATCCCAGCGGTTGCAGGATCCAAATTCGGGCTACCAGCAACTATCGCATGTATTTGCGATGGTTGCAGTGTCCTGGGATCCTGGGATCAAGCGATCACCCTTTGGGACCGTTCCAGCCTACTTAATTAACTTTAAACGTTAACTTTCCAGCTACGTTAATGGAGGAAACTGGATTTGCTTAGTGACTGTGTGATTCACTTAACAATTGGAATAGAATAGAATAGAATAGAATAGAATAGAATAGAATAGAATAGAATAGAATAGAATATGGAATGGAATGAAATGGAATAGAATAGAATAGAATAGAATAGAGTACAGTAGAATAGAATCTTTATTGCAAATAGAATAGAACAGAACAGAACAGAACAGAACAGAATAGAATAGAATAGAATAGAATAGAATAGAATAGAATAGAATAGAATAGAATAGAATAGAACAGAACAGAACAGAACAGAACAGAATAGAATAGAATAGAGCTGGGAGGAACCTTGGAGGTCTTCTAGTCCAGCCCCCTGTTCAATTGCAGGGATTCACTTAACAATCTTGCAAAAAGGGTTGCCAGTCACTTAACCATTGCCTCACTTAGCAACGGAAGTTGCGGTCCCAATCGTGGTTGTAAGTTGAGGACTCCCTGTAATGCTTTTCTCTTGTAGAAAGCTGTTCAGTTGATTACAAATGTCCCAAACTATCTGCAGAAGTGCTGTCAAACTGTCTAGTCCAGCGGTCCCCAACCTTTTTTGCACCAGGGACCGCTTTCGTGGAAGACAGCGTGGGAAGAACCCAGAGAAAGAAATATTTTGGGAAATATTAAAAAGGCAGAATATATTTCCCCAAAGTCTCTCTGCCTCAAACAGAAACCAGGTCTGCAAAAATGCAGATGTGATAATCTTGTCAGAAAGATTGGAATCAGGAAGCTGGGATTAGAAAGAAAAGATATCTAGAATCAACAATCCCTCACACCGAATAATCCAACAGTCATCAGCCACAGCCCCAGGGAAGCAGGATATAACTTTTGGGACATAATAGGATTAACCCACCACCATCAGAATACCAGAAAGGCACACTCAGACTCAGGTCAAAGTTCATGCCACAGGAACAACTCCAAACAAAAGCCCAAGAAGGTATAAAAACCCACTCCCTACTACACGTGGTCACTTTTTTCTTCCAAAGCCATCTTTCTGTCTGGCTCTCCTCTTCAATAAACTGCAACCTTCTTTCTAAAGCAGTCTCCATGTTTTGATTATTCCTGGCTTGGACTGGACCCTGATGAAGATTTTTTTCCTTCAACAACAGTTTTTCCATAGATGGAGAGGGGGGAAGCACGCAACCTAGATCCCCCACATGCAGAGTTTACACTAGGGTTCATGCTCCTGTGAGAATCTAATGCCTGATGACCTGAAATGGAGCCGTGGCGGTGATGGTAGCGTTGGGGATCGGCTGCAAATATAAAGGAAGCTTCGTTCGCTCACCTGCTGCTCACCTCCAGTTGTGAGGCCCAGTTCTTACAGGTTATGGACCGGGACCGGTCCTTGGCCCAGGGGTTGGGGACCCCTGGTTTAGACGGTCTCCACTACTGAGATATCAACCCTCTCCGCACTTTTCCAGATCCTATTATGAACCTTTTACTTGCAGCTGCAGATTGCAAATGGCTGAGCAGGGAAGGTGACCTGCGTCTCCCAGGGGCCTCCATAAGCCTCACCTTTCCCCAGGTTGCCAGTTCAGGCTGCTGTGCCCAAGGGAGAAATGCCAGATCACAACCTGGGCTCCCTAAAACAGCCCCTCCCTCAAGGGGAGCAGCAAAGGGAAATTTGCCCGAAGCCCCCAAAGTGATGGGAACGAGGAATGGAGAGAGACACTGAGGCAGGATTAGAGCAGTGTTAGTTGGAGCAGAGACAAAAAGGGGTGGGTGGGTGGGAGAGACAGAATGGCCATCCTAGAGGGAAGACAACCTAGCAGGGGTGGCACAATGCCCGCCAGAGGGAAGGCAGCATACTTACCCCATTGATGAGCAGAGAAAGCAGCTCCCAGGCACATGGCGGGCAGCCTCCGTCAGTCCAGGGCACGAGGGCGCATGCAAAGGAGGAGTTAGGGAGGTGGTTAGTGCATCCGTGGAGGACGTCGGGGAAGATTAATTGGTTATTATCCAGACAGGCAAAGGGGGGAGGGGCATGGCACAGTCCCACCCAGAGGCTTCAGAAGGCAGCTTCAGGGACACACAGCATGCACTCGCTCCGGAATCGACCGGGGCCACGTCAAGCCTTGGAGTCTGTTCAGCCATGCTGGAGCTCAGCACAGCCCTTGGACAAATGGACATTAGGACCCCACCCCAATGAGATTAATCAATCAATCAATAGAGCTACAAGGGACCTTGGAGGTGTTCTAGTCCAGCCCCCTGCTCAAGCAGGAGAACCTATACCATCTCAGACAGGTGACTGTCCAGTCTCTTTTTAAAAATCTCCAGTGATGGAGCACCCACCATTTCTGGTGGCAAGCTGTTCCATTGGTTGATTGTCCTCACTGTCAGGAAGTTTCTCCTTAATTCCAGGTTGCTTCCAAAGGTGCTTTTTCATGAGGCAACTGGAAGACTTTCTTGTTTTTTTTTCTTCTTTGAAGACGTTTCGCTTCTCATCCAAGGAGCTTCTTCAGATCTGACTGGATGGTGGAGAAGAGAAGGATTTATACATTCCCCACCTTCCAGTCAGAGCTGAAGAAGCTTCTTGCGTGAGAAGCAAAATGTCTTCAAAGAAAAAAAACAAGAAAGTCCAGCGAACGTCTCGTGAAAAAGCACCTTTGGGATAACTATGAACTGGGTGACTGAGAATCTCCGTAGACATTTCCCCATTAACAACAACAACAACAACAACAAAAAAGCTGGAAATTCCTGGAAGCATGGCCCGGATCCTACGGAGGGAGGTGCGCAAATGGTGCCATCACCCCAGCCTCCCATTCACCTCTGGCTTGGCTTCCTAGAACAGAGGCAGGAACTTCCAGTTGCTTCCAAGCTTGATATTCCCACCCCACATACACACACACAAACAATCCATTGAATTTGCACACTTCTGTTCTTCTGTGGCTTTGCCCTTGGCCATTTCCACACTCCCCCCCCCCCCCGAGAAGCTTTGGAGACCAAATGCATTGCAAAATATCGCTGGGCAGGAAGAGGCCTCCTCCGCCAGCTGGAACAGCAGCACATTGACCAAGAGTCTAAAAATAACTTCTCCAAGTTTCCCATCGGTGCCTTGGGACTCCAAGTCCCGAGAACGCCCAGCCAGACTCGGCTTTCTGCCCCTCCCCTCCCGGCAAAGGACTGGAAGCGGAACTTCTGGAGGCCAAGTTCCAGCCGGGCCAGGGAGCTGCTGGCCGCAGACAATGGCGCACACAGAGCGCAGCCGTGGACTCCCTTCCTCGGCTCTCCAGCGGCCAGCATTGGTGTGCCGGGATCCGGGAGGTGGACAGGGAGGCCACAGCCGGGCTCCGGAGCTTAACTGTCAACCCAGGGTCTGCAGAGAGAAAAGCCCCTTCTGCAGCCTGCAACCATTAAGCTTTTTGGGGGGGCAAGACCAATTTAATGTCTATAAACCAGTGTTTTTCAAACTTGGCCACTTTAAGGGGAGTTGCCATCCACACCTCTTAAAGTGGCCAAGCTTGAGACATACTGCGGTAAGCAAAGATCTAGTTCCATGGTGGTGAACCTATGGCACGCGTGGCACAAGTGGCACACAGAGCCCTCTCTGTGGGCACGTGCAACGTTGCCCCAGTCCTAGGCCTTCAGCTGGGTTTTATAAAACCTTTTTGCTTTAGGCCTCCGCCGCCATGTGCAAAAAAAAAAGAAGGTTCAATTAGTCAATTTCAACTTCTCACAGGAAAAAAAAAGATCTCGCAAAGTTGGAATTGTTTGATTGAACTTTTTGGTCCCACCCAGTCTGCTGTTACCACGGCAGCCACGCCCACCCAATGGGCCATGCCCACCCGGCACCTGACAATACATAAGTGGGTTTTGGGTTGCAGTTTGGGCACTCGGTCTCCAAAAAGTTCGCCACCACTGATCTAGTTGATCTTCTGTGTAACGCTGTGTATGTTCTCTAGCACAGGGGTCCCCAATCCCCAGTCTGTGGACCAGTACCGGGCCAGAGCAAGCCAGCAATCGGTCTGCACAAACAAGCAAAGCCCCACCCACGGGATGTAGGCAGCACACAAAACCACGCACCCTCCGGTCCGTGGAAAAACCTCTCTCCACGGAGGTGCCCAAAAGGTTGAGGACCTCTGCTGTAGGACATAAGTCAAACTTCTGTCTCCTCCTGATGGATCTCTTCCAGCCCACCTGCTTGAAACCTGCTTGAAATCTCTCAGGAAATGACGATTGATCTGCCAGAACTGTTGTTCAGGCAGTCCTCAACTTACAACATTTCATTTAGTGACTGTTCAAAGTTGCAATGGCACTGAAAAAAGGGACTTATGACCATTTTTCACAGTTACGAGCATTGCAGCCTCCCCACGGTCACGTGATCAAAATTCTGATGCTTGGCAACTGGCTCCTATTTATGACGGTCGCCGTGTACCAAGATCACATGATCCCTTTTTATGACCTTCTGCCAAGCAAAGTCAATGGGGGAAGCCAGATTCACTTAACAACTGGGTTACTAACTCATCGATCGCAGTGATTCATTTAATAACTGTGGCGAGGGAGGTCGTAAAATGGGGGGAAATTCACAAAACAACAGAAATTTTGGGCTCAATTGTGATCGTAAGTTGAGGACTACCTGTATACCGTTAGTCCTTGACTTACGACCAGTTACTTAGCAACCATTTGAACTCCCCCCCCCCACTCAAAATGTACTAGTGTGCTCCCTCTTTGAGACAGAGATCTCAGCTCCAGGGTCTGGAGGACAATTCTCCAACACGCCACGGCCAGCTCGGTGTGGGACAAGAGTTCCACTAGTATCAAAGAAATGGGGCAATAGAATAATTAAAGAAAGGATACAACAGGAGGGACAGAATGAAATGTGAGTGACCAAAATGAAAGTATTTTTAAATTTATTTTAAATAATTAAACTGAATTGTTAAATTGTCCCACAGCGCATCGTCCCGCAGCGAATTGGCTGTGGTGAGCGAATTGTCCTATTCCAGTGGTGGCGAATCTATGGCATGGGTACCAGAGGCGGCACTCAGAGCCCTCTCTGTGGGCACACATGCCGTTGCCCCAGTCTTGCCTCCTCCTGTGACCCCCTACTCACCAGCAGCCCCCCTGGAGAGTTGCCCCTGTCGCCCACAAAGAGCAGCGCAGCCAAGGACATGGCAGCCAGGCAGCGTAGACAAGACTCTGCCCTCACACCCCATCGCGCACAGTTGATGCTGTAGGGTGCGGCCAGAGGGCATGGCCGCAATGGTGCTGCTGGGCTGCCTGTGCAATCTGTGGCGGGCCCTGGAGGTGGTGAGTGGTCCTGCGGGTAGGCGGGGTGGGGGCAGGGTGGGGGCATGGAGTGGGGGCGGGGCCAGTTTTTGGGCACTCGGTCTCCAAAAGGTTCGCCATCACTGTCCTATTCTATAGCCCCAGAGCCAGGTTGATGAAGCAGTGAGCGAGGCAGGGACACTGGTGTGCCCGCAGCAGAGACCATCAAGGAATCTTCTTTGCAATCACCACCCCCTTCAGGCCCGACCTTTGCCCACCAGCCCCCTATATGTCCCCAAGGGCCACTGGGAAATAGGAGAGGAAGGGTTGCTCTCTCATCTCCAGACCTCCATGGAGGCTCGTGCAGAGCTTCTGACTGGCCTTGAAAAGGAGGACAGGTGAGATCTTACCTATCGGGCACTCCTCCTCTTGCTGTCTCCATCCTGGGCAGCAAACAAATCCAGAGGACCTGTGGAGGAGACGGAAATGAGTTCACCTTCACATCTCAGGCCAAGCAAAAGGACACTCGCCAAGCCTCCTGGGCACTCGGAGAGGCCACACCGCAAGAGCTAAGTGTCACATTTGACACTAAGCCTCTTCCTCGCCTCCTTCATGACCCCTTCTCTCTGCAACCACCCCTTTCCTCACCGACACTTCCCCTGCTGAAAGAAAAATCTTCATCAGGATCCAGTCCAAGCCGGGAATAAACAAAATGGAGACTGCTTTAGAAAGAAGGTTGGAGTTTATTGAAGAGCAGAGCCAGACAGAAATGTGGCTCTGGGGCAGCTGACTACATGGTGCTGGGAGTGGTGGGTGTTTATACCTTCTTGGGCTTTTGTGTTTGGAGTTCCTGTTCCTGTGGACCTGAGCTTCGAGTGTGCCCTTTTTGGTATTGGTGGGTTAATCCTATTATGTGCTAAAGGTCATGTCTTTAGAGTTTGGGTGGGGTATGTAGATTTTAGGAGTCTTTGTCTTCCTAATCTCATCAGCTTCTAGCTTCCTGGCTCCAACCTTTCTGAATAGGATTGTCAATCTGCCTGAGCAGGGGGTTGGACTAGATGACCTCCAAGGTACCTTCCAACTTTATCATCATCATCATCATTATTATTATTATTATTATTAAATCTGCATTTCTACAGACCTATCTGGGGGAGAGAGGCTGGGACTGGTTTCTTGGGGCTGGGTTCTGTCTTTTAAGATTTTCTTTCTCCATTACTGTATTCCTTTGGGAAATATAATATTCTGCTTTTTAATATTCCCCAAAATATTTCTTTCTCTGGGGGGGGGTGCTGTCCTCCTACACCCCCTTCCCAAGAATGGCAATCTGTCTACGAATAACACAGGGATTATTTTTCCAGGTTAGCTGCAAAGTCACCAAATAGTAGAGTTACACTCTAAAGAAGATTCGGAGCAAGAGGATTCTGGGAACACTGAACTTTCTTACTGGCAGGTTCAGATCATGGGTGAGAAGACAATGGCTACAAAGCCACACACAGATCCCACAGCCTTTTGTTGTGATCTTCCTAGCAACTTTATCTCTGCTTTGGGTCTCTGCTCTCTGAAGATGACGAACACATAAAAACGACGACTTATACCAAAATAAACAAAGCCCAGTTGTGAAAATAAAACCCACAGCAACATGATTAAAACCAAGGGAAAACTTCACACCACAAATAATCTCGGAGTCCTAGTGGACAATCACTTAGATACGAGCCAGCCGTGTGCTGCAGCTGCCAAAAAGGCCAACACGGTGCTGGGCTGCATCAACAGAGGGACAGAATCAAGATCACGTGTTAATACCACTTTACAATGCCTTGGTAAGGCCACACTTGGAATACGGCATCCAGTTTGGTCACCACGATGTAAAAAAGATGCTGAGACTCTAGAAAGAGTGCAAAGAAGAGCAACAAAGATGATCAGGGGGCTGGAGGCTAAAACATATAAGGAACGGTTGCTGGAATTGGGTATGTCTAGTTTAATGAAGAGAAGGGGGGACATGATAGCAGTCTTCCAGTATCTCCGGGGCTGCCCCAAAGAAGAGGGAGTCAAGCTATTTTCCAAGGCGCCTGAAGGCAGGACAAGAAACAATGGATGGAAACTAACCAAGGAGAGAAGCAACCTGGAACTAAGGAGGAATTTCCTGACAGTTAGAACAATTAACCAGTAGAACAACCTGCCTCCAGAAGCGGTGAATGCTCCAACACTGGAAGTTTTTAAGACGAGACTGGACAGCCATTTGTCCGAAATGGTATAGGGTTTCCTGCCTGAGCAGGGGGTTGGACTCGATGACCTCCAAGGTCCCTTCCAACTTTATTATTATTATTATTATTATTATTATTATTATTATTATTATTATTATTATTATTAGTATTAGTATTAGTATTAGTATTAGTATTAGTATTAGTATTATTAGTATTATTAGTATTATTAGTATTATTAGTATTATTAGTATTAACCATCAGCTGCAATCACCCATCCCTAATTTGATAATACACATCTAAACCATAGCATCCTAAGGCTGGAAGTGACCCTGGAGGTCTTCTAGTCTAACCCCTAACCCCAAGAAAGAGTCCTTATGCCATCCCAGACAAACCCTTGGCCAATCCTTTCTTGAGAACACAGGAATGAAGCACCCACATCTCCGGAAGGCAGGCTAACATAGGCAGTCCTTAACGTACAATCATCAATCGAATAAGTGCTTCAAGTTGCAACAGCACTGAAAAGAGTGATTCATGATGGGTCTTGTGACTTGTGACTGTTGTAGCATCTTCACAATCATGGGATCAGAATTTGGCAACCGAGATATTATTTATGATGGGTGCAGCATCCAAGGATCAGATGAGCGTCATCCGTGACCTTCCCAGCCGGCTTCTGATCCACAAAGTCAAGGGAGGAAGCCAGGTTTGCTTAATGACTGAGTGATTCACTTAACAACTGCAGTGATTCATTTTACAACAAGAGATACGAAATTGAGGGCAGCACAAGAAACAAGGGATGGAAACTGATCAAGGAGAGAAGCAACCTGGAATTAAGGAGAAACTTCTTGACAGGGAGGACAATTAACCAATTGGCTTGCCTTCAGAAGTTGTGGGTCTCCATCACTGGAGGTTTTTAAGAAGAGACTGGGCAGTCACTTGTCTGAAATGGTATAGATTCTTCTGCTTGAGTGGGAGGCTGGACTAGAAGACCTCCAAGGTCCCTTCCAGTTCTATTATATTCTAAATAGTAGAATAGAATCATTAAACATGGTATAGAAATCGTGGGTGCTCCATCACTGGAGGTTTTTAAGAAGAGACTGGACAGTCACTTGTCTGAAATGGTATAGGGTCCCCTGCTTGAGGAGGGGGTTGGACTAGAAGACCTTCAAGGTCCCTTCCAACTCTGTCCGTCCTTCCTTCCTTCCTTCCTTCCTTCCTTCCTTCCTTCCTTCCTTCCTTCCTTCCTTCCTTCCTTCCTTCCTTCCTTCCTTCCTTCCTTCCTTCCTTCCTTCCTTCCTTCCTTCCTAGGCTATTAAGAAGAGACAGCCATTTGTCTGAAATGGTATAGGGTCTCCTGCTTGAGCAGGGGGTTGATCTAGAAGACCTCCAAGGTCCCTTCCAGCTGCTATTCCATTCCATTCCATTCCATTCAGTCCCATCCCATCCCATCCCATCCTATCCTATTTCAGCACTACTCACTCTGAATAAGGCATTCCAATGGACTCATGTTCTTTTCCGATGAATGGGAACGTGAGAGACTAGAGCAGTGATGGCGAACCTTTTAGAGACCGAGTGCCCAAACTGCAACCCAAAACCCACTTATGCATCGTCGGGTGCCGGGTGGGCATGGCCAATTGGGTGGGCGTGGCTGCAGTAGTAACAGCAGACTGGGTGGGACTAAAAAGTTCAATCAATCAATTCCAACTTTGCAAGATCTTTTTTTTCCCGCAAGAAGTTGAAATTGACTGATTGATTGAACCTTTTTTTTTTCGCACATGGCGGCGGAGGCCTAAAGCAAAATGGTTTTATAAAACCCAGCTGAAGGCCTAGGACTGGGGCGACGGCGCCCGTGCCCACAGAGAGGGCTCTGAGTGCCGCCTCTGGCACCCGTGCCATAGGTTCGCCACCACTGGACTAGAGAGACACAATGCAGGAAGGAAGGAAGGAAGGAGATCTTTTGCCACTTAAATGGATGCAGGGAAACTGCACTCTGCCGAAACGAATTTCCCTCGGAAGGAGATTCTAAAACCAAATTGTCTTTGCTGTCAGACTAAGACTAAGTAGTAAAAATGGACAGAGGACAAATGCAGGCCAATTCTTGCTGCAGCGTCTTGAAAATAAATGTTGAACTCTGATTTGGAAAGCAGTTGCTGCTAAAAACAGCTGACAGCCCCAAACTCTTCTCCCTCAGCTGGCTGTGCGTAGACAGGAGGACAGACGGAGATTTACTAATAATGCCACGGCACTGACAGTTCCCTAACAGCAAGCGGAGAAATCCATCTGTCTGGAGTTTCAGGATGCGAGGGAAAGGACGGGCCTTAATCTGCAGCTGTTGGGGCTGATCTTGCAACTTCTATTTATCTACGCCAGGGCTTTTCAACCTTTTCACCCACTGTANGATATGGCAATATCCGAGTACTACCAGTCGCCTAGCAAGGTGTCAAAAACTTGATGACCAAAAAAAAAAGAAAAAAAGGGATAAAATACAGGTAGTCCTCGACTTACAACAGTTCGCTTAGTGACTGTTCGAAGTTCCAATGGCACTGAAAAAAGTGCCCCCCAAGCCACAGCCGAGCAAGACACCTGCCTGCCCACCCGCTGGCCCTCTTCCTCCTGTCCGAGGTTTTCATTGTTGTGAGCATTTCTGTTGAGGATTGGCAGCGGGGGTGGGGTGGGGGGGTGTTTGGTTTTTATTCCCCCTCATCTGCTGGGTGGTTGCAGCAGGTTTTGGTCATTTCACATGACCCTGGGACACTGACTGTCATAAATATGAATCAGTTGCCAAGCATCTGAATGTAAATCACAAGACCCTGGAGAGGCTGCAACATTCCAGCTGATCGATGCTTCTTCTGGGCTCAGCAGAAGCGCCAGGATCAGCGCTGAGCTCCAGCTGGAGCCTGGCGCTGATCCTGGCACTTCCGTTGAGCCCTGACAGCCCCGAAGAAGCGCTGATCAGTTGGAAAGCGGCACTGATCCTGGCGCTTCCGCTGAGCCCTGACAGCCCTGCAGCTCCAGCTGTCTCTCACTCAGGCTTGTGCCGTGCTGCCACCGGTTCAGCTCATTCCCCTCCCCAACTACCACTTTTCTAGGATGGTCGCGTACCACCTGCCAGGTGCCAATGTACCACCGGTGGTACCCGTATCACTGGTTGAAAAGCCCTGATCTACGCAATTCATAAAAAAAAAAATAGAAGTCCCTTTCTTTGAACTCATCTCGTGCTGGCCTCAGAGACTCAGCCATGGAAGATGGAATGTGTTTGGGGAAGTGATAC